AGGGGTCCGTAGGGGTCTGTAGGGGTCGTAGGGGTCTGTAGGGGTCTGCAGGAGTATGTAGGGGTTCATAGGGTTCTGTAGGGGTTCATAGGGGTTCGTAGAGGTCCATAGGGGTCCATAGGGATCTGTAGGACTCTTTAGGGGTCGTAGGGTTCTGTAGGGTTTCATAGGGGTCTGTAGGGGTCATAGGGGTTTGTAGGGGTTCACAGGGGTTCACATGGGTCTGTAGGGTTTCATAGGGGTCTGGAGGTGTCTGTAGGGTTCTTTAGGGGTCTGTAGGGGTTCATAGGGGTCTGTAGGGGTCATAGGGGTCCGTAGGGTTCTTTAGGGGTCCTAGGGGTCCTTAGGGGTCTGCAGGGGTTCATAGGGGTCCGTAGGGGTCTGTAGGGTTCTTTAGGGGTTCATAGGGGTCTGTAGGGTTCTTTAGGGGTCATAGGGGTTTGTAGGGGTCCGCAGGCATCCTTAGGGTTTTGTAGGGGTTCGTAGGGGTCTGTAGTTGTTCATAGGGGTCTGTAGGGGTCCTTAGGGTTTTGTAGGGGTCTGTAGGGTTCTTTAGGGGTTCACAGGGGTCTGTAGGGGTCCATAGGGGTCCGTAGGGGTCTGTAGGTGTCCATAGGGTTTTGTAGGGGTCTGTAGGGTTCTTTAGGGGTTCACAGGGGTCTGTAGGGGTCCATAGGGGTCCGTAGGGGTCTGTAGGTGTCCATAGGGTTTTGTAGGGGTCTGTAGGGTTCTTTAGGGGTTCACAGGGGTCTGTAGGGGTCCATAGGGGTCCGTAGGGGTCTGTAGGTGTCCATAGGGTTTTGTAGGGGTCTGTAGGGTTCTTTAGGGGTTCACAGGGGTCTGTAGGGGTCCATAGGGGTCCGTAGGGGTCTGTAGGTGTCCATAGGGTTTTGTAGGGGTCTGTAGGGTTCTTTAGGGGTTCACAGGGGTCTGTAGGGGTCCATAGGGGTCCGTAGGGGTCTGTAGGTGTCCATAGGGTTTTGTAGGGGTCTGTAGGGTTCTTTAGGGGTTCACAGGGGTCTGTAGGGGTCCATAGGGGTCCGTAGGGGTCTGTAGGTGTCCATAGGGTTTTGTAGGGGTCTGTAGGGTTCTTTAGGGGTTCACAGGGGTCTGTAGGGGTCCATAGGGGTCCGTAGGGGTCTGTAGGTGTCCATAGGGTTTTGTAGGGGTCTGTAGGGTTCTTTAGGGGTTCACAGGGGTCTGTAGGGGTCCATAGGGGTCCGTAGGGGTCTGTAGGTGTCCATAGGGTTTTGTAGGGGTCTGTAGGGTTCTTTAGGGGTTCACAGGGGTCTGTAGGGGTCCATAGGGGTCCGTAGGGGTCTGTAGGTGTCCATAGGGTTTTGTAGGGGTCTGTAGGGTTCTTTAGGGGTTCACAGGGGTCTGTAGGGGTCCATAGGGGTCCGTAGGGGTCTGTAGGTGTCCATAGGGTTTTGTAGGGGTCTGTAGGGTTCTTTAGGGGTTCACAGGGGTCTGTAGGGGTCCATAGGGGTCCGTAGGGGTCTGTAGGTGTCCATAGGGTTTTGTAGGGGTCTGTAGGGTTCTTTAGGGGTTCACAGGGGTCTGTAGGGGTCCATAGGGGTCCGTAGGGGTCTGTAGGTGTCCATAGGGTTTTGTAGGGGTCTGTAGGGTTCTTTAGGGGTTCACAGGGGTCTGTAGGGGTCCATAGGGGTCCGTAGGGGTCTGTAGGTGTCCATAGGGTTTTGTAGGGGTCTGTAGGGTTCTTTAGGGGTTCACAGGGGTCTGTAGGGGTCCATAGGGGTCCGTAGGGGTCTGTAGGTGTCCATAGGGTTTTGTAGGGGTCTGTAGGGTTCTTTAGGGGTTCATAGGGGTCTGTAGGGTTCTTTAGGGGTCATAGGGGTTTGTAGGGGTCCGCAGGCATCCTTAGGGTTTTGTAGGGGTTCGTAGGGGTCTGTAGTTGTTCATAGGGGTCTGTAGGGGTCCTTAGGGTTTTGTAGGGGTCTGTAGGGTTCTTTAGGGGTTCACAGGGGTCTGTAGGGTTCTTTAGGGGTCATAGGGGTCTGTAGGGGTCCGCAGGGGTCTGTAGGGGTTCATAGGGGTCTGCAGGAGTCTGTAGGGTTCTTTAGGGGTTGTAGGGGTCTGTAGGGGTTCATAGGGGTCTGCAGGAGTCTGTAGGGTTCTTTAGGGGTTGTAGGGGTTCATAGGGTTCTTTAGGGGTCATAGGGGTCTGCAGGAGTCTGTAGGTGTCTGCAGGAGTCTATAGGGGTTCATAGGGGTCTGTAGGGGTCTGCAGGGGTTCATAGGGGTCCTTAGGGTTTTGTAGGGGTTTGGAGGGTTCTTTAGGGGTCTGGAGGGGTTTGGAGGGGTCCGTAGGGGTCTGTAGGGGTCGTAGGGGTCTGTAGGGGTCTGCAGGAGTATGTAGGGGTTCATAGGGTTCTGTAGGGGTTCATAGGGGTTCGTAGAGGTCCATAGGGGTCCATAGGGATCTGTAGGACTCTTTAGGGGTCGTAGGGTTCTGTAGGGTTTCATAGGGGTCTGTAGGGGTCATAGGGGTCCGTAGGGTTCTTTAGGGGTCCTAGGGGTCCTTAGGGGTCTGCAGGGGTTCATAGGGGTCCGTAGGGGTCTGTAGGGTTCTTTAGGGGTTCATAGGGGTCTGTAGGGTTCTTTAGGGGTCATAGGGGTTTGTAGGGGTCCGCAGGCATCCTTAGGGTTTTGTAGGGGTTCGTAGGGGTCTGTAGTTGTTCATAGGGGTCTGTAGGGGTCCTTAGGGTTTTGTAGGGGTCTGTAGGGTTCTTTAGGGGTTCACAGGGGTCTGTAGGGTTCTTTAGGGGTCATAGGGGTTTGTAGGGGTCCGCAGGCATCCTTAGGGTTTTGTAGGGGTTCGTAGGGGTCTGTAGTTGTTCATAGGGGTCTGTAGGGGTCCTTAGGGTTTTGTAGGGGTCTGTAGGGTTCTTTAGGGGTTCACAGGGGTCTGTAGGGTTCTTTAGGGGTCATAGGGGTCTGTAGGGGTCCGCAGGGGTCTGTAGGGGTTCATAGGGGTCTGCAGGAGTCTGTAGGG